GTGGGCTCGGACACTCACCGTGGGCTCGGACACTCACTGTGGGCTCGGACATTCACCGTGGGATCGGACACTCACCGTGGGCTCGGACACTCACCGTGGGGTCAGATACTCCCTGTGGGCTCGGACACTCACCGTGGGGTCGGACACTCACCGTGGGATCGGACACTCACTTGTGGGCTTGGACACTCACCGTGGGGTCGGACACTCACCGTGGGGTCGGACACTCACTGTGGGGTCGGATACTCACTGTGGGGTCGGACACTCACCGTGGGGTCGGACACTCACTGTGGGGTCGGATACTTACTGTGGGGTCGGACACTCACTGTGGGGTCGGACACTCACTGTGGGGTCGGACACTCACTGTGGGGTCGGACACTCACTGTGGGGTCAGGCTCTCACTCTGTGTGGTTGGGTGCTCACCAGGGGGTCAGATACTCACTGTGGGGTTGGGCGCTCACTGTGGGGTCAGACTCTCGCTCAGGGAACCCATCTCTCTGACCCTCGCGGGGGGCTGGAGGCGAGTCCTCTGTCATTGTGTCTGGTTCTGCCGTGCAGAGGCTGGAGTAGATGGTGCTTCATCAGCCTTACCCTATAACTCCACGTTTTTATACCTGAAGGAAAGCCAGAGCTCAGAAAGAAAAAGACCAGAATTTTTAAGTAGTGCCCAAGGATTGGTATAGATTTTCACATTATCCATGGTTCTGGCCCAGATGTACCATTCTTAACATAAAGAAATGCCCGGTTCATCTTTATTTCCTCTCATCAGAAAGGTCAGTGTTTGTCCACTTTTTGTCTTTCCAGCTGGAATTGTTTCATTGGTTTTCTGTCAATGCTTCTGTTTCAGTTCACAACAAAAATTGAACTGTTCAGTTCTCTGGGTGTTTTGAGCTTAGGAAAAGAAAATGAAATTCAGGGATGGAAAATACTTTTTCCAAATAGGCAAAAATGTCAGTAATTGATTTCTCAAGTCTTTCTGTGCATACATTGACATGCTTCATTTTCATCTCCTTCCATTGTTTCAACTTATACACAGTCATTAGTTTATTTCTCTATTTTAGGTGGTGCTTGATATTCGAATTAAAGCCATAGAGGAATTAAAATTAATGAAGGAACTAGGTAATCATTTATGTTTGCTTTTGATTTCTTGGTTTACTTTAGTTTTGTTTTTATTTTAAAATTAAAATATATAGATATATGTGTGTATATACATGGAAGAGTACAGAATAATTGAGGGAAAGTCATGCACCTACCACCCAAAATGGACAGATGTTAACATTGTGTCATGTGTTTGTTATTTTAAACATCACAAAAAAAATGCCAGTCCCCCACGAGCTGCTTCTCAGAAGACCTGTGCTTTCCCCTCCCCAGAGCCGCCCAGTATCTAGTTTGTGTGTCCATATCATGTTAGATGCGTTGTATCTGTGTATGTATTCATCTGCATATATTTCTTAGATTTACATAAATCCTATCACGGATAGAGCATTCTGCAGATTAAGTATTTGCTCAGTATTGGATTTTCCTTAATAACTTTAGTGAAGTATAATTTATTGATCACGAATCTCACCCATTTTAATAGTTTTTCTGTAAATGGACAATTTTTGAACTATTCACACAATCCAGTGTTATGACATTCCCGTCCTCCCAGAAGACCCTGGAGCTTGTTTTAAGGGAGCTCCTCACAGCACTGGTCTGTGTTGGGACTCGGGACGTTTGCTTTTTCATGCCATTTTACATAAATAGAACCTTGATTATGTCTGGTTTCTTTCCTGTAGTATGTCATTTTTTGAGGCTCTCCCTGTTTAGCATGCCTCAGTACTTTGGTCCTGTTTATGAGTTGTTCCTCTTAGATTCTGCTGTAGATAGAACATGTTTTGTTTATTTATTCACCAGTCAGTGGACGTTCAGATATTTCCATCTTTGCACCTTTACACATAATCCCGCTGTGACCATGGGCGTGTCTGTGAGGACCTTGGCTTTCACTCTGTGAAGGAAATATTAGGACTGGAATTGCTGAGTCATGTGATAACTGTGTGTTTACCCTTTTGAGGAGCTGCCAGACCACCTTACCTTTTTAAGTGGTTATTTAGAAAAAAAGAAGTAAACAGAGGAGACTCTTTGTGACTCACGAAGCCTGAGTTCCCATTGGAGCTATATAAAGGGACCCAGCACATAGAAATAGTGGTTACATTTTACTAGATTGACTTTCAGTAAAAGAACCAAGTTATTTCAGTGGGAAAAGTAGATTTTCAATAGAGAATGCACAAATAGATCACAATAGGACGTGAGCTGCTGGCACATCCAAAATCTAGGTGAGCCTCAGAAACACACCAAGCGAATCAACCACAGGAGAAGGTGTGCTGTGTGCTTCTGTTTCTGTGGAATTCTAGAAGAAACAAGTCTATGCTATAGTGACAAGAGGCAGGCCAGGGGAGGAGGTGTGATGGTCCCCCCAGTGCAGTGGTGGTGAAGGAGGTCATCGAGCTTTGATTTGCGGGGATAATCTGGATGCTGCTGTAGTCATCAGACTCATTGAACTACATAGTGGCTGCATTTTATACTTACATTATTGCCACTAAAGTTGATTAAAGTACATCATGGATTAAAGTGAGGGAGTCATTATCTCTCTCCATAAAGCTCCTTTCTCCTCTCTGACTCTTGGCTCTCTCCACACTTTCTGTGGCTGGGGAGCTGCTTGGCTGGACATCAGCGTGAGCACATGACCCCTCTACTCCAAGCCCTTCAGTGCTTTTCCGTTGAATTTAGGCCAATTTCTTGGCCTCGCCTGCAGCCCTGACCTCACCTTCCCAACCTCCTTCCTGTTTGCCTGCAATGTGCATCCCATCTTCCCACAGGGACACAGAGCCTCCCCACGCACACACTTACCCTCCCGTGGACCTCTCTTCCCTTGGTGCTGTCATTCGTTCATCTGGTGTCTTCCACCCCTGCCACTCAGCCCCCATCCATCCATGTATTACTCTTCCCCAGTACCCAGTGTCTTTCCTTCAGGTCACTTGCTGTCATGGCCCCGGCAGTGCCACCCTGGACATCTGCCTGACACCATCAGACACGACTGAGGCCAAGCTGGGGTGGTGGACTTCACCTGCATCTCAGCTGCTGAATAGTACCTGACAGGCACAGACTTACACAGTACATGCTTGTTGAATGAAAGCTAAAATGTCTCAAGGAGACAGTTTTTATTTAACATGAAGTTTTAAATGAGAAATTTTCTTAGGTGCTGTTTCAGCCATCAAAAAATTATCATTAGAATTGTATACCAGCTTCACATTACAATAGTATAAAATAATAAACTTAGACCTCTCAGAAGTTCTGCCGAAGTCTAGTAAAATAAAAATTTCTAAGGTCCATGCTATTTTTAACAACTCAAAAATACACCTGAAACTTGTTACATCGAGTTGGAACCAACTCATAGCTGACCCTCCAGCAAGTTTTCAGAGGCTGTAAATCACATAGAAAGAAACTGCCTATCTTTCTCCCTCGGAATAGCTAGTGGATTCAAACTGCCCGCCTTTGGGTAGGCAGCGTAACTGTCTACCAGTGAGGCTGTCTGCGCTGGGCCGTCACCTTACAAGGGAATCCTTATCAAGAAATCTGGACAAAAAAAAAAGAAATCTGGACAAAAGCTTGATGTGCTTCTACCACGACAAGGACACATGGGGTCCAGTCCACTGATGGGCATAGAAGCCACCTCGTGTTTTAAATCCTGATGACCTTTGCCTTGTACAGTCCTCGGAGGCAGGGACTTCAGTTTCCTTGGTTTGATAACAACTCTCCAAACATGATTCGGGTTTTCGCTCTGATGGTGTTAGTTGTGAATACAGACTGGTGGGCGCTCTCCTCAGTCGACACATCAGGATGGAATCAGCTGGCAGACAGGACAGCGGTGACCAGTCAGTCATGTCAGCCTATCTGTCTGAGATTGCTCACTGTTCGTCTGTTCATCTCACCACTTAGACAGCAGAGCGTGTGGTGACACTGCCTCCCTGTCTCTGACAAATAAATGTGATATTTTGCAAAAAAAATGAGCAAACACAGAAGGGAATTGGCCAACACAAACAAAAGTGCCGCCAAGAAGCAAGTGTTTGGGGTGAGAGGGCGGAGCTGGCGGCAGAGGAAGTTCGTTGAGGCGAGGCCCAGGCTTTCTGCAGCAGCGAGGCATGAGGATGCCCCGGAGGAGGTGGCCGCGGCCGCAGCGCAGCACCACACGCGCTCCCGGAACTGCTTCGTGACCTTGGAGATGCACCAGACGGCATGTCGGAAGCTGCCCAGGCCACGGAGTCGCACAGCGTCTGGAGGAAGAAGAGGCACTTGCTTCCGTATTGCTGACCCATATCCAGTGTGCGATATTCAGAAGCAAGCCAGCCTTGAGTAAATTCCTTGTTTAAGTACTTTTGAAGGTTGGTTATCTTTTTTTTTTCAGTGAGGAAATACTTTGTCATTGTTTCTATAGTTTTAGAGTGTAAATATTAATGTTGCTGGGATTAATTTTCCATTTTCATACATATATAATCAACAATAATGGAGTTTTTAGTCTTTTGGTGAATTTGTGAAAAGACAGAATGATCATGTTTTTTTCCAGTGCAGTAAGACAGCTGTGTGACTTCCCTTTCACACGGCCATGTTTGTAGTTACACGGGCAAGTTGAAGGGGTCATAGATTTGATTTTACTTGGATCCACAGTTCAGCACCCGTGGAAGCAGACAGAAGGTCAGGTGACATGATGCCTTGCTCAGATCTGCTGCAGAAGACCTCTTTAATGCGGTAAAAAGCAAAAGGTGTCACCCTAAGGACCAAGCGCGTCCAGCCCAAGCCGTGATGTTGGCTTAGTGGTAAGGAATTGTGCTGCCAGCCCAAAGGCGTGCGGTTCAAATCTGCCACCTGCTCTGTGAAAGATAGGCAGGCTTGTCCTGTACTATTAACTGTCTCTGAAAACCCACTGGAGGGGTTAGCTGTGGCTCGATTCCGACTCTGGGACGTAATAGCAACAACATACACAAGCATAGAGAGCTCTGGTGGCTTACTGGAAAAAGAGTTGCACTGTAACCGAAAAGCACACAGTTCATATCTCCCAGCTGCTCCGTGGGAGGAAGGTGGGAACTCTCTTCCCATGCAGGTTACTGCTTCTGAGGCTCTTCTGGAGGACCAGCCAAGAGTCCATTCCAACCTGATACCTAACAACAACATGGGTGTATAAGCTGAACAGTTCATAAGGGAGACTGGCGAACAGTTGATACCTTTGAGTGGTGTTAATGAAATGTCTGTGAAATTGTGTTAATGTCATGTCCGTATCGTGGACTGCCGAGAGACCAGGCAAAACTACCTTAGAAATACAGCCGCGATGTTCCATACAACCGAATATGGCTGTCACTCACCGACTTGGGACATAAGATTTAGAGGGACTGGTCCTGGAGAGGGCCATCGTGGGGGAGAGCGACATGGTGGCTCACACCCAGCAGTGACTGTCAGCATTACCGTCTGTTACACATTGGCACACAACGACCTGTATTATTTTGTTTATTGTATTTTGCTGCTCATTAACACAGTGAAACGTCTCCTTAGTTGTCGAGTTCATTAACCTCCTGCTTTTTATTTGTAGCGGAGAACACCTGTTTGAGACCTCTTGATAGAAATGGGAAGCTGCTTTCTCCAGGTAAGTTTTATTTAGAGGCTGTATCATCATCCGGCTAACTGTTCCTTGTGGTTATTGACACAGCAACTCTCTGTCTTCCTCAGAAAAACAAAAAAATATCAAAACATTTTACTAAAACATAAGATTTGCAGAAATTAACAGACAAGCCATACAAGATGGTCACTAGCATCTTTTTGAAAAGAAGGAATGACACTTTCCAGCAAAGCCTGCATAGCACGGGAGGGGGTGGTGGTCACCTAATGGTCTCTTTTTGGTCAGTCAGACGTGTGCTTTTACAGTGCTGAGATGAAGCTGGACTTAGCTGGAAGGTCTCTTCTAAACAACAGTTGGTTAGCTGCTTTTAACCAGTGCAATTCCATCGTCACAGAAAAGGAGGAAAGGAACCCATAAATTTAGAATAAAAATATCTGCACCTAAAAACAATAAAGAAGAACACTCGAATCCCTATAGCTCACCTGGTCTACTGCCTTTATTCCCAGTGCTGTATGCTTCAGGCGTGATGGGGAGAAGTTAATAAATGCAAAGAGGGACCTCTGCTTTTATACTTTCCCCACAGTCCAGGTGCCACTTGTAGCCCCTGCTCGTGCTTTTCTGAGTCTGGACAAGACAGGTTTCCCCACTGCACTTAGTTGCCAGGCGGCTGAAAGCGTCGGCACTTTTGTTAAGTAAGTTTCTAAGACTATGTCCGCTAAATGCAAATAAAAAATGAAAGCATTTTAGGAGAACAAAAGTGATGCATGCTTGATTCCATGGAGTTCCACACAGTTCATGGCACATCCCGTTCTCCAGCTGTGCTTGCAGCTTGGTTTCCTTGGCCCTCAGCTGTTCCCTACATTGTTTGCTAATGGACCGTCTAGACTTGAAACCTTTAACAAGACCTGGAGCATTGCGGGGCTGCCTTTCACACTAGCTGAACACACTCTTCCCAGCTTGTCCACGTTAGGAGATTTTTAGGAACTGCCATTGGAAGGAATAGTTAGAGTGTCAAAGTCTCTCCCTCACTGGGGGGATCTCCAGGGCCAGCAGTGACCACATGAAAATAATGGACATTGCTCCCATCTGGTCAGCCAGCACCCCCTGGTTTTCCAGGTGACATGCAGGGCAGCTTGGCCACCTTATCACATCCCAAGTTCAGCCTCTGGGATCATCTGGAGACCAGTCTTTCCGATGAAGAGACCCTCATTTTAGTCAAGATTATGATCTAGTTGTAATAGATTTGTAGCCTTATTTCTGAAATGGTTTTAAAATTTGTTTTGATAATACCAGTTATGGCCTAGTGCTTGGCCCTCAGTTCTGTGATTCACTTCTGTCTGTCTGGTTCTTGGACAGACCTCATTATGGATTATAGTCACCGAACAGTTTCGAACTTGGAAGAAATTAGTAGATCACTCAGAAATTATCAATTCTTGAATGTCTGGCTCTCACTCTGTGTAAACCACAACACTTTGGATAAGTCACTTTTAGTGGGTGTAAATCTAGAAGATACGTAGCTGCTTCTTAACTTTCTTTGCACAGTTACACAGATAACAGTATGGAAATTGAAAAACATAACATTAATATATTTCACCTTTCTGCATGACACACTACTTGTATTGTGTTTCTTCCACTCTTCTTTTTCTCTGAGAGGTGGGAATTAACAGTACTCCTCACGTGACGGTGATCCTTTGCAGTGCCAGACAGCTACACTCTGAAGGAAGCAGAGCTGAAGATGGGAAGTTCTCTAGGACTGTGTCTGGGGAAAGCACCGAGCTCCACTCAGGTGAAACAAAGCTGCCAGCCGGAGCAGGGAGCAGACTCAGCCATCACGTCTGTCATTCTGTAACTTTGTAATTTATGCCTAACTGCCACATTAATTTTTATCTAAAGGGTTTTCGTTTGATTTCTTCCTTAAGAATACACACGTACTGGGATTCAGTTTTTTAAAAAGCTGTCAAAGCATTTGTTTAAGACCCATTGCCAATGAAAAGGTCCTGGTAAAGGGGGGATCGTCACGACTCAGGGGTTCTATGTATTGTTTACTCACCTCTTCTCCCCTCGTCCTGCCCCCACATTTTACTGTCTGAAGTTAAAGGGCAGCTTACAGTTGGGGACATGCAGTGGGGCTGCCCAGAAGTACTTTCTACACCCAGTAAGGAGTCTGGCAAATTGGCATTTTCAGGTTGTTGAGTGTTTTGACGTTTAACTTGGTTTGCTCCTGCAGCCATGCAGTATTCTCACCACCCGCTTGGTCTTTGTCTACTTTCTACATAAAAACCATCAAAGTTCACCTTTGCCTTGAAACCCTCCTTATTTAACCAACTTTGATTACAGTCTGGAAGGCAGAAGGATACCCTTTCCATTAAAGCCCTGTAGCAGGGTGTTCGGGTCTCTGGCCAGCTCTTCCCAGCCCCTGTGTCCACTTCACAGGTTGCCCTGGTTTTTTCTTGCTGACCTCAAGAGAACAAGTAGCGCGAGACAAGCTGACAAGAGAGCAGACTTATGAAACTGAATTAGAAAAGACGAGGTTACCAGTGACCCGCTGAAAAGAAGTCAGATTTCTGGTTTTTCCTGTGGGGTCTTGGCAATTCTAGTTTGTATAATCCCTGTTGTTGTGTGCCGTGTGCCGTCCCATAGCTGACCGTCTGGTGGGTTTTCAGAGGTAGTTAGTCACACTTAGGAGATTGCCCATCATTTTCCCCCAAGAACAGCTGGTGAATTTGAACAGTGTGCCTTTAGAATTGAAATGCAGCTTCTTACTCCTACCCCACCAGAGCTCCCTAGGAAAAATTGATAGCTGAAGACTCAGAAAAAACAGTGCTTGATGGGTACGGTAATTACAGACTCCCCTGGGCAGAGATTGAGACAGACGGGTGTCAGAACAGAACAATGTCTTGAGAGCTGCCGGCGGGGAGCCAGGCCAGCCTGATGAAGGGCTCAGTGCTGCCCTTGGCCCAGGCCCCTGCTTGAATCCTAACACTGTGTCACTTAGCCTCGCCTAGGGTTTACATGGCATGAGGTTTCTGTTTGTTTCACAAATCCCTGTTTTACTGTTGGAGAAGTAAATGATGCTGTCACCTTTGTACAATGTTCTCACTCATTTGTAACTTGGGCCTGTGCTTCTGTCATAGCTGTTGCTCTTTTTCACAACGGGGAGTGACTTTCAGCCTGGGACCGAGATGGCCATCACAGTGGAGGAGACAGCGTCTGTGAGAGATGTAAGGCGTTTTGTTTGGTGGCCTGTGGGTGGTGAGTCTAGAGAGAAGAGGTGACCTGTGTTAGGGCTTGAGGCCTTCTTACCAGGCGTCCAGCATGTGCTTTAAATAATGATGTGTTCTCGCTAAAGAAATAGTTTTGAACATGAAGATTGGTAAACCAACTACAGTGGTTTTGGTTTGGAGTTTTTCCCCCCCTTTTATTAGTGTGTGTGTGTGTGTGTGCGCGTGTGCGTGCCGTCAAATCGGATCTGACTGGCACAGGAGATTGCCCCTCCTTCTCCAGTAAAGGATCTGGTGGGTTCGAACTGCATGCCTCTGGGATTGCAGTGCAGCTTCTTGCCACTAGGCCACCAGAGCTCTCTCCAACTACAGTGTTCTAAACGAGATTGCTGGGTGTCGTTATTTTTAATTTCTGATTTTTAGCACCATGTGCTTATTGTAGCAATTTGGAATATGCAGAAATGGATAAAAATGAAAATCTCTTTCATGTCCTATTCCTGTCACTTGGCGTCTCTTCTGATGTTTGTTTACACACATCCACACCCACACCGCCTCCCTGGCCTGTTTGCTGGTCCTCAGATAAGGCAACTGTGGCAGAGGTTTCTCGCCAGCAGCAGCACAGACTCCTGCACACTCACGTGCTGGTTCTTCCGTCCCCTAAGCCTGGGAGAGTACAGGCCTCTCTGGGTGCAGCTTCAGTATAGGCCCTCTTTTATGGGATTGTGTTTTCATTGTCATTTTCTAAACAATCAGTGTATGATTACATTTTAAAGTCTTTTTATATTTTTCTTTAATAATTTTTTTAATTGTAATCATTCATAATTGCACATTTTAAGTCCTCCCTTCCCTCTCCCCCCGTTCACTTTTTTTTTTAATACTCATTCATTGCTGCACCAACATTACCAACAACCCCCCAATCCTCTTTACAGTGATATATCTTATACGTATAATGCCTAATCATATATACATTTTAGACAGTTCTTTCTTTCCTCTGTTCCAATGCAGTAGGCTTTATCTGTCCACTCTTATCCTGTTCTTCTCCCAACTCCCCATGTCAACCTGTTTTATAAGTGCTGCTGTGCAGTATTTGGCCATCTATGAAGGAGACATCTCACTCAGCATGATGTGCTCCAGGGCCCCCCATGTTGTGTCATGTTTTACAAGTTTGTTGTTTTTTATTGCTGCGTAGTATTTCATTGTATGAAGATACCATAGTTTTTCTATTCATATATTTGTTGATGGGTAAAATTTTCTTCTTCATTATATAAGTAATTAATACTATTTTAAACACAAAGGGAAAAAATCTTCTGGTCCAGGACCCCACTCCAGCCCCTTCCCTAGAAGTCACTGTTGTCACCAGATTGTATCTTCCTCTCCACCTCGGCCTAGAGCTTTGTAGACCCTTGCCCTATGCTTGAACTTTATGTTTTTACTGAAAATATTATAAAGTTGTGTCACGATTAGGGCATCTAAATCTCTCCTTATTTCATCTGTGTGGAGACAGCTCCTGGTTCATGTGACCAGATGCCCGTTGGTGGGTAGCGTGGTTGTCCACAGCTCTCGGTGGCAATGCAGTGGGCTCACCCTTACGCCCCATTTTCCCCAGTGTCGTGGAATGGAAATTTTCTTTCTTCCTTTGGCCAAGGTTTGTTAGAAGGTGTTTTCCCTGGAGAGCTTGGGGTTTTAATGGCCACGTTTGCTCGATGTGTGAGTGGTCAGCAGCGTGTGCCTTATCTCCTCCTCGGTGCCATGAGGACCTTGCTTGCGGGGATCCCCTGGGGAGCGTGGGGACAGCATGTCTCATCACAGATGTGTCTCCCATGTGCTCTTCCAGAGGGAACAGAGGGTAATGCAGGTCTGTAATAGCAGCCGAGTAACCACATCTGCTCAGACACTAACACAGCCCTCAGAAGAAGAGAAAGCGGCAGGGGAGAAGCATCACTTTTAACTAAATCCTGCAAACTCCAGAAGTGGGCTTGTCCCCCTTCCTGAACTGGCCTTACCTGCTTCTTTAGAGTGACCCTGTGTGGTGCAGGTGGTTAAGCTACTAACGGAAAGGTTGGTAGTTCAAATCCACCCAGAAGTTCCTCCGAGAAAAAGCCTGACAGTCCATGTCTGTAAGATCACAACCCCTGAGAAGTTAGAATTCAGCACTGCTCTGAACCATGAGTCAGAACTGACAGCTATCCTCTTAGAAGCATTGAATTATTGTTCTGTTACCTCTGTTTATATTAATCTATTTGAGAGTGATTAGTGTCATGCATAAAGCTTTGTCTCTCATCCTTTGAGCATATTGCTAGGGGAGGCTATTCCTAGGAGAGGGACATCATGATGGAAAGGCAAAAGAAAAGAGAAGACCCTCAAAATAGATGGATGGACACAGTCACTGCCCCAAGGGCTCAAGTGTGTCAGAGTTGACGAGGACGGCACAGGACAGGACAGGGCTCAGATACGCTGTTCATAGGGTCACTGTGAGTCATGCTCGACTCAGCAGCACTGAACAACGACACAGCACTGCGTAAAGGAGCTCTGATGGCTTAGTGGTCAGGAATTACTCTGTCAGCCCAAAGGCTCACGGTTCAAATGCACCAGCTGCTCCACGGGAGAAAGATAGGTAGTCTCCTTCCACGCAGTTTACATCTTCTGAAAACCCGCTAGAGGGTCAGCTGTGAATCTGTTCCAACTCAGTCACACACGACAGTTAGAAAAGCAAAGCATAAATAGGCCCAGAGTCCAAAGCAGAGTTTTCACAGCACTGCAGCTCAGAAACAAAACTAACATTGAGCTGATTTTTTTTTTCCCCTCTGACAGTGTTTGAAGATGATGCTGGAGAAATCTGGCCTGTCAGGTAAGTTCCATATCATGGATGTCATCTGGTCCTTTTCTTAAATAAATTATCTATAAACGTAATGAATCCTTTTCTGACACTTTCCAGGGTTGTCCCTTTCTGCTTTGAATTTCTTTGTACATAATGAATTCTCTTGGTTCTTGCAAGTGAAATATGAACTAGTAGTAACTTAGTTCTGAGTAAAGAGCCTATGTAAGAACTAGCAAAGGTAAGAAAGGCACAACCAAGCCTGGTGCTCTGGCATTACCCTGCTTGGGCACTGATTTTCCAAACATGTTACTGATCCGTAGTGTGAGTGCACTGTGCAGTGGTGCTGGGAGTGATGTAGGTTAGAGGTATGTGGTGGAGGCAGGAAGGAAGGTGCTGGTGACTGAGATGGCAGAGGAAGTGGGGGCGGGAGCGTTAGAGGAAGGTGGGGGGAGGTGGTAACGGAGGTGGTGGTGGCAGAGATGGTGGAAGTGATAGTAGTGCTAGTGGAGGAGGAGGAGTTGGTGGATTTGGAGGTGGTGGTGATGGCCGTGGAGGTGACAGTGGTGGTAATAGTAGAGGCAGTGGGGAGGTGATTGATGGAGATCACAGTGGTGGTGGAGATGGAGGGGGTAGAGGATGGTGACGGTGGGCTTGGCGGAGGTGGTAGGAGGTGGAGGCAGTAGAGGTGGTAGAGACAGTATCAGCCCGGGCGAGCACCAGGCACTGGCTGGCTCACTTAGCAAGCTGCTGTGCTGTCTGGGTCTGAGCTGGAGTTCTTCCCACGCTGTGAGATGAACTAATGTTGGCTAGTCGTATTGGGGGTTTTTGAGGTACTTAGAGTAACTAAAAGCATTGCTCTAAGTCTTCTGATTTCAAACTAGAATTAAGGGTAAGAGCGGGTTGTGTTGTGGTGAGGGTTCCGCCTCAGAGCAGATAGGCTCAGTCTGTGCTGTCCTTTGACCAGGGCAGGTTTGGGAGGTAAGTCTTTGTATGGCATGCTAATAAACACTGCTTAATTTTTTCTTCTGTTTGACTCTCTTGAAACATCCCCCCCCAAAAAAAAAATAAAATAAAATGTTATCAAGGTAGCAAAGATGCTGAAAGACAAAAACCCAATTGAGCAATTGAACATTTTTTTGTATTCTTTTATACCACTTTGATTAAGCTGCTATTAAGAATGAACTCTCACTTTGTTACAGTGTAACTTGTAAACAGACTAGGATGGGTTTTGTTGTAAACCTTAGCCCTCCTTAGAGATCAGTGTAGTCATAGGAGTCCTGGTGGTGCCGTTGCCTTTTCTCAAGTGCCCAGCTGTTAACTGAACACTGAGGGAGAGAAGAAATGTGTCTGTTTGTCTGGTAACAGTTTCTCATCTGATCATCTCCTGGCTCTGGAATCAAAATCTAGTCACAGCTTGAAAACCTCCAAAAGGTTTTCAGAGGCTGTGAATCACACAGGAAGAGATTGCATCTTTCCCCATGTGGCAACTGGTAGGTTCGAACCACCTTAGAAACCCTCTCAATACGTTCTCCTGTGTTCTGTAGGGTCATTGTGCATCACGCTTAATCGCAGTGGGTTTGGTTTGATCCTTTACATACTGTTAACAATAAATCGCAACACTGTAGGGATTTTAAAAGGACTATGTGTGTGTATTTTCATATACGTTTGCCTTTATGTGAGATAGATAGATGAGAGAGAGAGAGAGTGAGTGTGTTTCTACATGTAAATACCAGAAAACATTGCCGTGGAGTTGCTTCCACCTCATAGAGACCCTCCACTGAATTTCCAAGGCTGTAAATCTTGTTTTTCTCCCACGGAGCAGTTGGTGGTATCAAACTGCCAATCTTTTTCTTAGCAGCTTGATACTTCACACCCTGCATGACAGTGCTCCTTACATGTAAATAAAAAAGTATAAAATAAATTGTGTATAATCATAGCAAATGTTTTCTTCCCAAGCATACGTTCTTGGTGGAAGAGACCAGATACCTAAACTGAAGCAGCACTGTTTTTGTTTTGTTTGTATCACTCCTTCCCTGGAAGAGATCATTTTTAAAATTAATTAATGATTATTAGCAGACGAAAACTTCTTTGGTATTTATCTGTTCATAAGGCTCGGTCTGACAGACCCTTAACCTAATGCTGTGTGTTGTCCTTCACACTGATTGTGGTTTCTTCGTAGGGGACGCGTGGCATTTGCGAAGAATGGATTGGTGTTTCGAGGCGGGGGAGGCATTATGTGACGAAGTAAGATTATTGCTGTGTGTTTCATGCTTAAAAATCAATCTTTCTTTTCATACAGGATCCCCTCTCCACTTGTGTGAATAAATTCTAGCAAAAACTTTTGATCAGTATCTTTAAGCTGCAGACCTGTGTGGACAGGCCTTTTCTGTTTTCCTTCCTGTGGTTTGTCAGATTAGAGGAGAGTTCTCAGCCAGCATGATACCTCTGGCATCGGATGGGTTTTCTCTCGGTGCCAGAGAGTGAGACCCTTCAGAAGGAGCCGAGCTTCAGGGGGAGGCAGGCAGCAGAGACGAGAACTTAGGAAAGAATTCTCCTGAGTGGTACTTGGAAGCTTTGAGAGCTGAAGGTTTTCATCTGAGTTCACTTGTAAGTTCATGAGGGCGCAGTACATCTTGTTGTTGTTTTTGTTAAGTGCCGTTGAGTCGTAGACGACTCATAGCGACCCTGTGAACGAAAGACTGAACACTTTGGTAACTTTAGTCGTTTCTCCATGTTCACAGCTTTCGGAGGCAAGCCGTTTCGGAAGTGGATGCCACTCCTGCTTCTAAGCTTGTTTTAATCAGGGAACTCCACCAAACACTGTCCAGCATGGGTAACCATTCTTGCATTTGGCACATCAGTGTCACAGTTTTTAGCATCACAGCAACCATGAGTTACCTCTGTACAGCAAATGGACAGACCAGTGCTATGCCACTTAGAAGAGTGTTTGACAAAAAACAATTTCAAACCAGTTCATCTTAACAAGCAGTAATTTAGACTCTGGTCCAAACAGCATCTCTGGATCTAGCCGTGTTCTGGGAAGCCTCAGGTATGGTGTTCTGACAACACAATTGGAATCCAGGGTGGCCTTCTCTCTGGCAGGCCTCATCGCCCAGGAACTGCTGGTCCACACCACAGTGGAAGCTTTTGTGGGAAGTTGTAAGGAGCTGCAGTTAGCTGCCCTGTTCCTTAGGATGTCTGTCTTTCTGCTCAGCAATGGGCAGTGCCATTAAACATCAGCAGAAGGTCAACTAAGCAGGTGCACAGAAGCCTTCCACTGGTCACTCTGTGGTCAGTAAATCAGTATGGACAAGCCCAGGAGTTTGGCGTCCTCCAGTGAGAAGTGGGCCCAGAGCACAGCAGGACATGTAATTGGATGTCAGAGGAGTATATTTGTTCACACAGGTTTAACATTATTTTCGCGATTCGTCCCCAACTCTGCTGCCTTCAGTTGATCAAATAGCAAACCCAGAACCAGGTTTTTCTTCCCAGTTACGCCATCTGTCCTCAGTTGTTCCCTCTCCAACATAAACTGTGGCTGGTCCTGCTTACCTTTCTTGGCCCTGCCTCACCTGGGCCTTCACAAGCCAGCAGCCCTTCCATCTTCCCCCCCCAGCTCCCAGTCTCAGTCACACAGCAGCCAGCCGGGCCTGGCATCCCCACTCGCAGCCGCGTGGGTGGCCGCCAGCCGCATCTCGCAGGATACGTCTTCAAAATCACTAGTGGCTCCTTTGACCACGGTGAAACGCCTTCCTCTCTCCTGCTTTAGTCGGTCCGTGACCCCCACACTTCCAATCTAGTTTTTCTTCTGCCACTTTCATCTGGTTCTTCCCACGCTAACCATTCTAGTCTCTCAGCTTTTCACCAAAACAAACCACAGTGCTTCTCAGCCTTGGCTTCACCCTCATTTTCTTCATGAGGAAAACCCTGTTTTCTTGCCTCCTCTGTCTAAATTCGATCCACCTTTTTGGTCCTGACTAAAGTGCCATCTTCCATAAGACATTCTCTTCGTTGCTTGTCTCGTCCGTTTCCCTTCCCCCTCAATTTTGATGATGCAGAAGCGTTTATATCACGCAGTTTAGTACATCATGATCTAATGCTTTTATTACTTTGTATTTCAGTGCCATCAGATCTCCTGTGACTTGTAGCACCCTATGATTTTCTATAGTCTTTTTTACTGTCTCTTCAGTATCTGCTTTATTTGTTTATTTTTTGGAATCGTTGTTATGTGCTGTCGGGTCAGCTATGACTCATAGTGACCCTATGCACAGTAGCTCTGAATCCTGTTCTATCCTGAGCCGATCTCACTGTCTCTGACGCACCTTCCCTCGTTACCCCAGATACTGTGTCACTCCATCTAATCCAAAGTCTTCCTCTCCTACACTGTCCCTCTACCCTTCTAAGCACGATATCCTTCTCCAAGAACTGGTCCCTCCTGGCAAAATCCCTAAAGTACATGAGACAGGGCCTCAAAATCCTTCCTCCACGGCACAGCTTGGTTTCACCCTCTCCGAGACGTTATCTGTTAGTTCTTTTGGCAGTCGATGGTATGTTCAGTGCTCTTCTCTAGCACTACAACGCAAAGCCATCGATTCTTCTGTCTTCCTTAGTCATTTTCCAGTTCTCAGATGCATAGCAAGTAATTGAGAAGAAGTAAGTAGAATAGTTACATCAGGTTAAAAATCTTCTCATCTGTTTATTCCTATCAGAAGGCATAAATGTTAAATGTCTGTGTTCCAGGATGCGACGCTGAAGGAGCTGAAGCTGTGTTCTGGAGACACTTTGGTTGTGGTGGAAGGGACGCTGCCTCCCCCGGTAAGGGCTGATTTCTGGGTAGAGACTTCACACAGCACGTGCTTTCTGATGACACAGAGGGTTCCTCTTACTGTGGAAAACGGTGGTGTGGTTGGTGACTGCCGTCGAGTCGAGTATGACTCACAGTGACCCTGTGAACAGAAGCCCCTCTATAGCTGTTGTCATTTGTCAGGGTTTACAGACTTTCCAGAGGCATGTTTAGAAAGTGGATGCCACTAAGAATACCCAGATTGTAACAGCCAAACTGCCATGCTATAGATTTTTGCATATGTCATCTGTAAAAACTTAAACTGAAGTTAACCATACACATTTTCTTGGTTACCTTTAATATCAATAAAATTAACAAATCAACCATATCTAAAATAAAATTTATCAAAATTTAACTCACCTACACCCTTATCATTGACTTTTTTCTTCTTATAAATTTTGCTAAATACGGATCCTTAATCCAGATTTCTAAGGATGAAATCACTAAGTCAGAAAGTATGAACGTTTTCAAGTCTTGAGGCTAGCTGTTGGCACATTGTTCTCTCCGAAAGGTGTGCACATTTGACTGCCCTTTCATAAAGGTGAGGGGCACTGGGGGGCTTAGCATATTGCTAACCAAAAAGGTTCCGAGTTGAAATCCACGAGCTGGGCCACATCTGCAGGCAGCCCGTCTCCACTCACTAAGATTCGTACCCTCAGAGACTTGACGGAGAGCCACGCTGAGTCCCATTTGACTTGATGGTGAATTTTAGGTTTTGCATAAACATTGTAGTTTTTAAAACTAGTATTGTTGTTTGAGGTTTTCCTGTAAAGATAAAAGGATAGAGCTGCAACTGTGGGGGGGGGGGGGGCACCTGGGATAGGTCCATCACTATCTGTCACACCGGTCAAAGCGGTGCCTCAACCAACAGCTTCTGGCCCTTGCCCAGTGCCCCCTCTTTCTGACCCCACACAGTGCTTGGTTTTGATTGTTTTTTTAAAAAAGAAAATATAATCTTGTCAGTGTCCCATAAAAATATTACCATAGCTAGTCAAACATGGATATTGCAATATGAAGAGTAACTGTTTTCTCTGCGTTATAAAATGTTAAAAGATTATCACACTGGATCATACAGAAAATGCCATTTTCCTCTCAGTAAAGACCAAGAGGACAGCTGGGTCCTGGCCTGTTTGCTGATGGCTGTGGGTCTGCAGATGGGGCAGGGCCTCCCAGAGGTGCAGGGTGACTTGGCCAGAGTTCTGGCTTTGGGAGGGTGGGTGGCGCCCCATGGCTCACCGCCTCATCCAGCCCAGGCCAGCGGCGGGGAGCAGGGCAAGAAAGCGCATGTTTTGTGGTATAAGTTATTACTGTCTTTAAAAAAAAATTTAAAAGAAAACATTTCAGAGCATCTGTAGCCAAAGAAGCCCTGCATCCCATTTTCAGGGTTTCCTGAAGGTACCCATCTGGTGGTACCAGTGTGAGGCCTCCTCAGGACACCACATGAGTCCCCAGGACCAGATGGACTGTCAAGATGGCGCATGGGAAGCTGCATCCCCCCGAGGTGAGCACAGGGTTGGTGGGACAAGGAGGCGGAACGCCCAGCTTATGAACTCGGGACTACCAGTGAGAGCCCAGCTGGCTGGCACGGGGGCACTAACGTGTGTGCGATTGTCGCCGCCTCCTGTGTCACTGTCATGGGACGAAGCCCAGACTCCCCGGTGAAGCACATCACGTTTCACTGGAGACGTCTCCCACCTGGTGTCCCCAGGTGTTCCTGACCGCGTGCACGTGGACGCTGCCCTGCGCCTCTTGGGAGACGTGGAGATCTCAGAAGATGCCACCGTGCTGGAGCTCAAGTCCCAGGTCAGCCTTCCTGCGGTCTGTTGTCGAGGGGCAGCGGCTGCTCCCGGTGAGATGGTAACGTTCTTTCCATCTCTTCCCTCTCTTGCCATCTGTTCTGATACGGCATGTGTCAGATGCCATGTTCAGGGGTGAGTCCCCGGCGGGCAGCCTCGCTCGCGTGCACGCTGGTCCTCTGGCGCCCTGTGGCCCTCAGCCCGTGACGGGCATGCTCTGTTTCCTTGGTAGACTCGCAGGGACCAGCCCCTCGGGCTCGTTGGCTGTCCAGGGAAACGTGGTTTAGTGAGGCATTTGTGCAGCGCCCGCAGGACTCTGCTTTGCATTGTCTTTGTATCGTTGAATCGGTTTCACTCCCTTAGTTGAGAGCTGTGGTTGCAGTTCCCCATGAGCTGTTCTGTCAGGATGCAGCCCTGGACTTTCTCTTGTTTTCTTATATATTAACGTCCTCCAAGTGGACAGTGGACCCATGTGATCCCACACACATACTGAGCAGGACGATCTGAAGTCAGAGCACCGTGCACCCCCACAGGCCAGTGAGGAAGCAGCCACACGTGCTGGGCTGGGTGAACGGCCCCTCCCTGCAAAGAAACCCCGCGTGTCCTTGTGGGGGAGAGACCCTCAGGAAGGCAGGTGCTTAGAAGCCGCTTGTTCTTGTGTTAGATTGAAAGATGGAAAATCCCCGAGTTCTCGGTCAAAGAGGTGTGAGTGATGGCACCTTATGGCTCAGACGTCATCAAAACCAGCAGCTGGGGCCGAAGGTCCACTCAGGCTCAGGCTGTTCCGGGGCCGAGCGGGCGCTGCTCACGGCGTCAGCGATGTCAGTGACGGCACCGACCGGACGAGGCCCAAGCTGCGTGAGCACAGCCTCTGCTCACGTGAATCGGATTTTTACTTTATTTTAAAAGTTTCTCTTTTCAAAACACAATGGTCAGGACAGTGCCTTTATCTCCAGTCGCGCCTCCTGGCTGATGGGAGTGGAGCCGAGTACAGCACCATCGGGATGCCTGCTCCCTCCCTGTCCGGTGCTTCATTCCTTTTTTCCCCATAAAGCAGTTTTTCTCAGTAGAGCTTCCTAGCATCACTTGAGTAATGTCTGCTGCTTCTCCTAGGCCATGAACTTGCCCTCTTTCTCAGAGCTGGGTGTCGCGTCCCCAGCTTTCCTCCGAGCCTGGACCGTGGAGAGCAGACGCCCAGGCAGGCTCTTGCGGAGCAGCCAGCAGCCGCTCAGGTAGGTTCCTCACCCCGAACCATCCCTCTCCTGCTCACCCGAGGGGCGGGCACCGAGGTGGCCCGGAGGGGCCAGTCCTTCCATGTTGCTGACTTTGACACCTTAACATTCATCAGTGAAGCATTGGAACCACTTCCACTTCCTTGATCAAGTATTGCTGTAACTGTTCGTAGCTGTTGAGTTGGAACCGACTGACTCGTAACTGATCCTCCAGCAGGTTATCAGAGACTCGGGAGGAGGTTGCCCAGTGTGTTTTTCTTCTGTGTTCCAAAGGTTGTAAATGGAATTTTAAATAGTTTTATGAAGTGTGTGGAATGTAATCTTTAACTTAAATAGAGAGCTCAAGACTGATCTGAAAAAGGCGCCTTTTTAAAAAGTCCGTTACCCATCCCTCATTGTCACCTTTTTCTTGCATCATCAGGGAATGCAGACTGGGAAGGAGGGCTGAGATCTGCCTGGAGCCTCTTCAGAAAGAAGAGAACCTGGGGTAAGACGGCTGCGTTGCCGTGTGCTGTGCACACTCTGCGTTGCACAGTCTGCTCTCACTGTTACACACACCCCTTCGCAGCACCACACACGGTCAGCTCTGGGCACACAGAGCCTCAGCATCACACAGTCTAAGTAGAACTTAACAACCGAACTACCTTAAAGCAGTGTTGTGAAGTCTGTTTGGACATCTGGTCCCTCAAGCGTCTTCCTGCCTGACAAGTCAGCGGGAATCGCCAGCTCTCGCCCACGGCGTCTTGAGCCCCAGGATCTTGGTGTGTCTGTGAGGTGCTTCTCCCGGGCTTTCGGATTTGCTCAGATGGTCTCGTGGCAAAGGTGGGTGCAGCAGCACCCTGTCACTGCCCAGTCGGGCTCACGGACAGACTTGCCAGGGGTTTGTCCCAGTCCCTCGTGTTGCCCGGTTGGTGGAGCAGTGTACTGGTGCTCACTGCCTGGCCGGCTCTGATGACCCGTCTCCTGT